GGGGGTGCTGGGGCGGCCCTGGTAACAGGTCAGCGCTTGCAGGGTTCTGGGCCTGCCGACAGCTTTCTTAAGAAGTAAAAGAAGAAAAAAAGAAGAAAGAAAGAAAAAAAAGTCAGAAGGGCAGAGTTTGAGTGAGGTCATCTTGAGGATTGAACGCGTTTTACATGAAAATCAATCAGTAAACCAGGGTCCGTTTAGAGCCGGGATCTGAAGCCCGGTGCGCGCAGGCGCACACCGCGGTACGCACACGCACACTGCCACCCCCATTCCAGCCCCCACCCCACTACAGCTCCTTTCTCTAGGGAGGGGGGAGCAGATGAGGCTTTAAACAGCTTCCCACCCAGCAGCCTGGGAGAGGGAGGGCAGCACGGACCCAGCATCCTGAGCTGCGCCACTTGGGCAGGCATGGAGGACCCCAGGCAAGGAGCCCGGCGCGGAGCCAGGCCCGGGCGACCAGGACAGGCCGAGGCCAGGGTTGCCAGAGTTGGCACCCCAGGCACCCCGCCCTCCCGGGCACTAGGCCCTGTGGGGCCTCAGCTGGCGGCTGCAGGACGCTCCCCCGCCCGGGCTGGGAGGGATTGTCTCCGGCAAAGCCGGGAAGCTCAGGCCGGTTATTAATTCATTGGGTCGTGTGCCGCGAATCAAGTGCGACTCTGTGCAGCCACCGTGAAGCCCAGCAGGGCCGCCGGGGCGGGCTTTGTGTCGGCAGAGGCCAAGTTGCTCCCCACGCCTGAGCTCCTGCCCGGCGCGCCCAGAAGCTCGGGGCTGGGACCGCCGCTGCCGGCAGCCGGTAGGCTTCCCCCAGTGCAGGGGAAAGAGACCCCAGACCCTAGACGCGCCTCTCCCCCTCCTCCCCCACTGAGGAAAACAGACCCCTGTGTTCAGAACAGAAGAAAACATCCCCAAGCCCCACACCGGAGCTCCTTTCCCCATCGGCTCAAAGCACACAGGAGGTCTATTCAACGTGGCGTCTCAGGTGGCCCCCACCTCAGCCCGCAGAGCCGGCAGATCCGGCCCCGGCCGCCTCCCTCCCCAGCTCTGTGGCCGCCGGCACCCTCGCCTGGCACCCGAGGCCTGCGCCAGGAGAGTGTGTCTGTCTGCGCTTCCCCTCTCTCGGTTAATATTAACCAGGAGCTCATGCGTTCCAGAACTGCTCCGAAAGTTCCACTGGGGACGATCTTGCCATGGTTGAGGGACTTGGGCGGCAGTCACATTAGAGAGACAGACAGGGAGGGAGGCAAGACAGAGGACGAGGGCCATTGCGCACCTGGGCCCCAATCAGGTGGTTATTTAGAATGGGGGCCAGCGGGTGAGCAGGTTCCCCAGGAGCACACACCTCCTCTGGGCCGGGGAAGGGTCCCTAGCTGGGCCCCTTCACCCACCTCCAGACTCTCACCACCCAGCCCTCCCCCTCCCGCCGGCTTAACTCTCAGAATCCGTGGAAGAAAGCCCAGTGGAGGGACGAACCTAGTGGCACCTCGAGACTGCCGCAGCTCCAGCCACCCGCGGGTTTAGGAGACTCTTTGCGGGATGGTGATGTGATCGTGGCCTGGCTCTCCCCCACCCCGGCCACCCCACTTTGGCTGTCCCCCCCACCACCGCCTTTTGTGTTGGGAAAAGGAATAGCCACTGCCCAAGGAAAAAAAAAGTATTTGTTTTCGTTTCGTTCGTCTGAGGGAAGTTGACAGAAGGTCAGAAGTTCAAATGCTGCCAGTGCGCGCGGCGGCGAGAGTGGCGGGGCGTGGGGCCGGCGGACCCCGGTCCGGGCAGGGCGGACAGGGTGGGGGAGGGCCCTGGCTGGGGGCTCT